GTACTTAAAAATTAAACTTAAATAAAAAATTATTTCGTTAACAAGTCGGTTTTCTTCTGTACACACTTACTCACTCCGGCTTCGGATATACATTAATATCCGAAAAAAAGTCTGCAGACAAGTGGAATCGAACCCAGGTAGCTAGAGCCCGCGTGTCACACAAACACGCTTCACCACTCGGCTATCGAGGATTCGGAAATTCCCTAACATTAAACGCCTACATTAACTATTTACAAAAACTATGATTCTTTCTTATTTTAATTCCCTCTTATGATTAAAAAATTATGTGAAAAATCTCTCTGCTCTTCTCGCTTATGGACAACGCTATCTTATAACTTTTTATTACACGCGCACTTATCTCTACATATTATAGCAACGTCGTACGATCTGGATTATGTATTATTGTAAGTACATGATCTTATAATGCAAATTATGAAATAAAGTGTTCGGACGTGTAATAAAAATTATTTTTAACACAAATTAATACCAAATTGAGATTGCAAAATAAATCGTACAATCATAGCGAGCTTCCATATTTGTTCAGTTTTGAAAATCTTTATTGTATGTGACTTAGCGCCTAGTACAGAGTTGCAGACAATTATATCACTTCAGTCGATCTGATCTCCCTCAGCTCTTTCTTCCTTGGGTCCTCGATCGTCTGCGTGTCAGCCCGCGCGCGGCTCGGCCGCTCCACAGGAGCAGTACGCGCGCAGAACGAAGGAGGGCGCGCGTGCCGTCATCTTGTCGGACGTTGATCGCGGGAAAAGAGCCGAACAATCCGCCCGCATCGCTCAGGGAGCGACATACTAGTCGCCGCCCGCCAAGGCGGGTCGGCCTTCTTGACCATTAGGGGGTGGCGTTGGTGGACCGGGGCTCGCTACGGGAAGCAGGGCCAGTTTGACAACCGGTCGCACGTACTCGCCAGTCGCTGTCTTCACGGTGACCGCGCGCACCAATCCAGCAGGACCAGGCTGGGCGCGAATGATGCGACCTAGCGGCCAACGACCGCTCGATTGGAGGAGGGTGGCGTCCAGTAGGATGACGAAGTCACCGACGGCAAAACTTCGGCGAGCAACGGTCCACTTCGGCCTCTGCTGGAGTGTATTAAGGTACTCTCGGCTCCAGCGTTACGAGAACTGAGCCCGAATGGCTCTCACGAGGTCCCAATGTAAGAAAGCGTCCAAGTTCTCAGTGGGAGGCCTGAGCTGGATGATGGAATCGAGTGGGGCTCCAACAAGGAAGTGGCCTGCTGTCAGTACCTCGAGGTTGGAAGGGTCGCCGGAGAGCGGTGTCAAGGGCCTTCCGTTGAGCACCATCTCAATCCCAACTAGTACGGTGGAGAATTCCTCGTAGGTCAGGTGACGGGAGCCCATAACGCGTCGAAGGTGGCCTTTGACTGACTTGACGGCGGCTTCCCAGAGTCCGCCGAAATGTGAAGCTCCAGGAGGGATGAAGTTCCAAGCGATAACTTGCGAAGTGAGAGAGCCGGCAACGAGGTCCCAGTCGATCTCCGAAATTTGTAACGCCTCGCGCAGCTCCAGATCAGCGCGGCGAAAGCAAGTGGCATTGTCGCTCCAGAGTTCAGAGGGTCGACCGCGACGACCGGTGAACCGAGCGAGAGCGCCCAGGAAGGCGGCTGTGGAGAGATCACCGACGAGCTCGAGGTGTAGCGCCTTTGTCGTCATGCACACGAAGACGGCGATGTAACCCTTCGTAGTGCGTATGCCTCGTCCTTTTGACGCCAGTACTGAAAAAGGCCCGGCGTAGTCGACACCCGTGCGGCCAAAAGCGCCGGAAGGTGTGACTCGTGAAGCTGGTAAGGAGGCCATCATCTGGGTCGCGGAGCGAGCCTGGAGTCGGGAGCATACGACGCACCGCCGCAATTGAGCCTTGATTCTGCGTGGGCCACCGAGAATCCATGCACGCTTGGCCGTGTAGGCGCTAGTGACCTTGTATCCGCCGTGAAGAGCTCGAGTATGGGCCCAAGAAAGGACCAGCGAGGCGAGCGATGAGGCTCCGCTAAGGATCGGTGGATGCCGCTCTTCGTAAGGTGGCGAGGAGAAACCCAGCCGCCCGCCGACGCTCAGAACGCCGTTGGTGTCGAGAAAAGCCGCAAGAGAAGTCAAAGGGTTCCCTTTTGGCAATCGCTCGCCGTTCTGCAAACGCGCGCGCTCTTCGCCGAACGTTTCCGATTGGCTCAAACGGACGCAGGCCAGGAAGGAATCTTGAAGCTCGGTGGGAGTCAGTGGTGAGAGCACCGGCAGGACAGGTGGGCGACGCAACTGGCACCGGACCCACCGACGAGTGCGCACGAGAACGACGAGTAGAGTGTGAAGCTTGGAATATCGTTCAAGTATGCTCGGCTCAGCCAGACGGGTGGCATAGCAGGCCAACGGCAGGGGTGTCACCTCTTGAAGTGCTTCCTGGGGCCAGGCTCGGTCGTTGTCGGCGAGCCACGGCGGACCGTACCACCACAGAAGTTGTTGTCTGAGACCGGACATGTCCGCGCATCGAGTGGCCACGTAGGCTGGATTGGACTGCGACGGCACGTACCGCCAGGCGCTCGAGGGTAGCGTGTCCTGTATCTGGGCCACGTAGTTGTCGACGAGGGCGTTGTTGGTTAGCTGATCGGAGCGAACCCAGTGCAGCACAATTTGCGAGTCGCACCAGGCGTGACAGCGCTCAATCGGAACTGCTAGTTCTTCGGCCGACGAGCGCAGAAGCTTAGCAGCCAGCAGGGCGGCGCGGAGCTCCAAGCGAGAAATGGTTATCCGGGCCACGGGCTCGGCCATTGGCTTAAGAGTGCGGATGGGTGCCAGCTTCGTGCGAGCGAGGAGAATGTGGCAGCGGACAGAACCGTCCGCGGCTTGGAGTCTAGAGTACAGGACAGCAGCCATCGCGCGGCGGCTGGCATCGGAAAATACGTGCAGGTGAATGTCCGCTGACGCGACCGTTCCGATCAAACGAGGCAGGGATATACCGGAGATGGCTTGGAGCTCGGCGGCAAAGGCAGTCCATCTTTGAATCATGGACGACTGAGCAGACTCGTCCCAGTCCAGGTTAGCTCGCCATAAGTCTTGCAGCAGGAGTTTGGCGTTCAGCGCGATCGGCGCAAGCCAACCGCATGAATCAAACAGGCCCGCGAGCGCTGCGAGCATGGTCCTCTTGGTGGTTTGGTGCTGTATGAGGGGAGGTGTTAGCAGAAAGCAATCTGACGGTGGGTCCCAGCTCACACCGACCTCACTAACGAGACCTTCGGCGCCAAGCTGACACCAAGTGGGCCGCAGGTGCACGTCGTCAGGGAGGTCGTCCAGCAGCTCGGGCACATTGGCTACCCACTTGCGCAGAGGAAACCCGCCGGATTGCAGAAGTTCGATTAGCTGGTCACGAATATGTCGAGCCATGGCGATGTCGTCGGCACCGGAGATTATGTCGTCGACGTAGCGGTCGTTTACCACCAATGGGAACTGCCTCGGGCCAACGGCGTCCTTCGTCCTCACACAGCTGCTGCACAGTGCGCAAAGAGAGGTACGGTGAGCACGAAGCGCCGTAGGTGACTGTTAACAGCTGGTAGTGCGTGGGCGGTTGGTTTGGATCAGGGCTCCACAAGATACGCTGTAGATCGACGTCACGCTTGTCAATCCAGGTCTAACGAAACATCATGCGGACGTCGCTGCAGAAGGTGATTCGGTGTCGCCGCCAGCGTAGGAGCACGATAGGGAGCGCGGTCTGCAGCGTAGGACCCGCGAAGAGGACGCCGTTTAGGCTGTAGCCGCTCGATGTCGGTTTCGAGGCGTTGAACACGACGCGAAGCCTGCGGCCCTTATCGCTGCTCTGCCAGATGCCATGATATCGGATATAGTGCACTGGTTGGGGCGATGCCGTGCGCAGATCGTCAGGCAGTGGCCTCATGTGGCCCAGAGCGATGTTTTCTGCCATAAATTGCACATACTCAGCACACATCGCTGGGGTCCGCTGGAGGCGACGATGCAACGAGTAAAGGGCGGCCGTGGCACTCTGCAGGCTGTTGCCGAGCAGCCGCGCACTGTCGCTCTTCAATGACAGACTAACGACATAGCGGCCATCCGAAGCACGATGGTGATTAAGGAAGATGCGCTCGCACTCAATGTCCTCTGGAGCGCGGCGGCTGACTTGCGGTACTTCCTCGAGCTTCCAAAAGCGCTGCAGCAGCGCAGCCAGCTCGCGATGCCAAGACGGTGCTCCGTCCATGTGCAGTGTTGAGCCAACAGTAAAAGATGCTGGCTGCAGGCCAGGAGCACGGCCGACGAGGGTCCAGCCGAAGATCGTGTGCTGACCGATAATGTCGCCCCGCCGGACGCATTCCGCCCTCAATATATGGCTGTAGACGTCGGCACCAAGGAGCAGGTCCACACTACTAGGTGTACCAAATGCGGGGATGGCCAGAGGCTGAAGATCTAGCCACTGCTTGGCCACGGATGGGTGCAGAGGAGCGGACGGCGGTACAAGCCCGAGCTGAGGTAAGCAGAGTGCCGCCAAGGTTATCGGCGGCGCATCTCTGCCCGGGTCGATGTACAGATGGGCCCGAATTCTCAAGCAGACGACCGACTCATCTCCTACTCCGGAAATGCACGCATTGGTGTGCTCCAGTGTGGCGTTGAGCCATCGCGCCAGGTTCGCAAAGATGATCGTGACCTCGGAGCACGCATCGAGGAGGGCTCGGACTGTCGCGCGCCGGCCGGACGGCCCACTCAGCTAAACGAGAGCGGTCGGTAGCACGGCGAGTCAGGAAGAGGGCGACGAGCCTAGGTCGTCGGCACGGGTTGCACCGACGGGGTCGGCCTTCGGCCGTTTTGGTGATGGCAGACCGTCAGATGGGTCCGATGGCCGTCGACGGCTGCTGTCGTGAAGCAGGCTGTGGTGCTGTTCTCGGCAGTACTGACAAACAGATCGGGAGGGGCAGAACTTCAACAGGTGGCCCGTTCGGAGGCAATTAAAACATAGTCAGGCTTGGTAGACCAAGTCTCGCCGAGCGTGCACGTCGAGGCCTTGAAATCGAGCGCAGTGCCCCAGGTAATGGGTTTCGCTGCAGGACGGGCACGGAGGTAGAGCTGCGCTGGTTGCGAGGGAGCGATAATGCCGCCCAGAATATGATGAAGCTGGTGGACGGATGCTGGGCGTGCTCGCTGGCCGCGCTGGGCGAGATGCCTCAATGGAGCTGAGAGCGCGGCACTGTCGGTAAAGGAAGTTCGTCATGGCGGTGAAAGTCGCAGTCTCAATTCCAGCCCTTGCGTCGGTGCCCACGAGCCGCTCGAGCTCGTCTTCCCAGGCACGCCAGGTAGTTGGGTCCATGCTGGTCATGGCACAAGAGATCAGCCAGTCATCCCACTGGAGGACAGGACGGCCCAAAGCTTGCAACTGGCGACCCAGCGTATTAAGAAGGCTCCGCAGACCTCTGGCCGACTCGTCCCTTAAAGGCCTGATGTTGCGTAGTACCGTTAGATGGTCGTGTACTAAGAGACGGCGGTGTTCAAACCATGCCTCGAGCGCGGCCCAAGCGGTCGAGTAGTTGGCACCCACGATCTGGATCGCGTCGAGGGCTGTTTTGGCATTGCCCTCCACGAGAGACTTTAAGTAAAACAGTCGCTCGACATCGGTGAGCTGTTGATCGTCATGCACTAGCGCTCGAAAGAGATCCCGGAAGCTCTACCAGTCTTCTCTTTTCCCGGAGAAGGCGGGGATACTAATTCGGGGCAGGCGGGGTCCACAACTCGATGTAGCGCGCCCGGGGCCCGCTCCACTGTTGCCAGGGGGTGGTGCGAGGGTGCTCCTCGCGTTGTAGAGGTGGGCGCGTGACTCTATGTACTCAGCCTCCGATGTCAAGTACATTTGGGTTAGTGACTCCTGCTTCTCGGGAGGAGGCGTCTCGATGAGCCTCAGATGATTGGCCTGAAAGTCGCTCCAGTAGCCATAAAGCAACTCAAGCCTCACTTCGACGAGGCCGATGGTCCAGGCCGAGGGCTCAGTTTGCGTGACGGCCAGCGCGAAACGAGCGATGACGTCTGCCAGAGCGCATTGGACGCCAAATAGGTTAGCCCAGCCTTTGTCGGACCTGAAAGAGCAATCATGAGCTTGACGGTTGCACGAAGCTGCTATTGCCGTCGGGCCGAGCCTGGCTTTGTCCTCACTTCCACAAATTAACACGTATGTGTGCGGTTATACGACGGGGAGAAGAAGTGAGAGCGAGAAGGAGAGAGACTCACACCTCATGTACACACACACGCACACACGCCCTCACATGTCCATGCGGGCGCGTAGACGCTTGCGTGCATCACGCATTGAAAAAGAGAGGTTAAATGCTAACTTTGATAAACCGCCCGTATTGCGTTTGCTCTAGTCATGACAAGGTATAGGTACACCCGTAAGGAAGGCAATGTGGCCGCCGCTACCGACAAAATAACCACTACCAGCGACACGGCTTCATGTCTGCCGTGGCCGTATGTATGACAAGCGCTGGACCACGGGCTATGCGGTGGCCGTGGCAGCCTTGAATTCAACTTGTGACGCGGATGCTCGTGAGGCACGCGTTAATGGCGGCACGACCTTGCCGTGGCCATGATCAGGCAACGCAAGCCAGACCGCGGGCACGATGGCGGCCGCGATGGCTTAATACAACCAACACTTTGACATCAGTAATAGTATACTCACATTATGTTGTGTGCTAAATGCTCTCCTTGGTTGCTGTTTGTTTCTTACTCGCTCGGAATCCGGCTCGAAGGATCAATGTTTGGTTTTGAAAATCTTTATTGTATGTGACTTAGCGCCTAGTACAGAGTTGCAGACAATTATATCACTTCAGTCGATCTGATCTCCCTCAGCTCTTTCTTCCTTGGGTCCTCGATCGTCTGCGTGTCAGCCCGCGCGCGGCTCGGCCGCTCCGCAGGAGCAGTACGCGCGCAGAACGAAGGAGGGCGCGCGTGCCGTCATCTTGTCGGACGTTGATCGCGGGAAACGAGCCGAACAACAGATTAATCCATTATTTTCAACCCAATTCGTCATTGAACTGATAAACAATACATGCTACATGCTACATGGTAACATCACGATGGGATTTATGGGATAACGAAGCAAGATATGTTCCATTCATATTCAGAGCAAAAAACCAATTGTTAGGGAAAAGGATGTCTAAAAAACTGTTGTAAAAATCAAAATTATTTTTCAAAACTACTAAGACTGTCTTTGAAATAAATTCTTAGTTATGTGCCAGGAAACTATATCTTATTTATGTAACAAATCGTTAGATGCAGAGCAACCATAGAAAATAGCTAATAGTTCACAAGATTACAAACATTACATCCTCCTAGATAACACATATACGCTTCTATCGGGATAAATCTTTCGAGAAAATGATGTCGGAAAATGAAATAAGAGAAATGTCAGGAGAAAGAAAATAGAGATAGAAGAAGTGGTAGAAAAAAAAGAAAAGGAGGTAAGAGAAAAACTCCTTTTTTTAGTCAACTATATTTAATCGCTGACAAGCGTCATCTTTTACATATTTTCTTATGTAGAAGCATGAGTTTGTATACAATGACGTATTTAAGCTTCAAACACCAATAAAGAGAAAAAAATGGGTAAGGTCAATAAAAAAAAGGAGAAAGTAAATAAGTATTTAAAAATTTCCTTAATTCTTTTATTTCATTAAAACGCAAACTAATAGGTACTCGACCTTGATAAAATAAAGTTTATAATTACAGCACTGTCATCATTACCTATTTTATGTTCAATTAATGAAAATTATTTATATTTGAAAAGACATACCTATTAGACTATGCATACATATATAACCTTAATTTTCTTGATTATAAGTTATCATTCTAACGAGATCAGCCAGCTATGTTTTATCTAGCCCTTATTTCATCTTCCCAAAGTAAGGAGTTACGTCAAGCTTGTTTGTGAAACTTTTTCACTTTAATTTGTTTTTCATGATTCATCGTTATTCCTGCCTAGTAATTAAATATAATATGTTGAAAATATTTCATAGCTTTATTTTGACCAAAAAATAAAATTTTTTTCTTGATTTAGACTTCTAGAATTATATTTAAAATCCCCCGACAAGACCTCTTTTATAGTAGTGATTTTTTCTTCCAAGCTTACAATGTCACTTATAAATAAGTTTCTCTTTATGTTTAACAATAAAATTTTTAAAATGTGCTTATCT